GAGCTATAAATCAGTTGACTTCCCAGCTCGATGAGATGGCATATGCCCTAGTTTGAGGAACAGATGGAGGCTTGGGGGAAATTGTTTCTGCAGGCTTGCTACAAGCAGCTCTCCTCCATAAAAGTGAACCATTCACACTAATTCCTAACATAAATTATGTTGGCAGCAGGGAGCACTGGCCCATTCAGCAGAAAACCTTTCACCCACCTTCAGAGGTCACCCAGCCCATCCGGATTCAAGTGATTTCTGATACCTACTGTATTTCTAGGCTGTGCACATGGAAGGAAGAACGATTTGCATCAAATACAAGAATGGAATTGTGCATGGAAATAAACAAAACCTCTAAGCACAGCACTGTACAGAAAACAACACCCCCCCCCCAACACAACACTGTAAAATAACAGCCAGAGGTTTATTTCACAGGATTTCTGGAATGACTCTGGCTATTAATTAATCATAGGAATTAACAATAGAAATGTGGTATCTTTTTCCTACCAAAATGGGGTGAGTTGTCACTTGTCTTATGAAGTATGCCTTACAAATTCTACTAAGTCCTGTTATTACCTCAAGCTTTTGCATTTCTGTGCAGCAACAGAAGCCCAGGATGGTTCCATGAGGACACTCATCCTTCTTCATGGAAAGCCAATTATTCAACTCAGATAAATTTGTCTATATGATTTCAGAAATCAGATCAGATTTATGTTAAGAGCAACACACAGAACATTAATTTTGCTTGGAGTCCTTAAAAATTGAAACATTTAAGAAACAAAAGGCACCAAAGGACTAAAGTATAAGTCAAAACTGAAGAAATGAGTGACTATGTCAATGACAGATAAGTGAGGTGGCACCGTGATATGGTGTGACTTACTTTAAAATGAAATAATATTTTTGGATAATGAGCAATCATGGTTTGGGATTGGTTTTAAATGTAAGAAAATGAGTACACACTTTAATAATGTTATATTAACTGTTTTTCCTGATAGGAAATTATCAGTTATGTCAATGAGAACACTCACAGTGATGGGGCTTGTACAGTCCATGAATATGACACTCCTGGGAATGAAGAAGAATTAGGGAAAAAGACAAAACACCAGTGGGGAGACACAAAAGGGGCTGTCACTCAGCATAGAATAGGAGGTGTGCAAGCCTCATCACCAGTCCTTTTAAAGACCAATGGAACTGTCTTAATTTTTGTGCACAGCGTTTCCTGACTTAGATGTTCAAGTCAGCCATTTGTTTTCAGTCATGTAGAAAGAGGCATTAGCTGTTGCTGTTATTTTGAAAGTGAGATGAAAAGGATAAATAATCATTGGGAAGGCATTGTGCATAATCTAAGGAGGTGCTCATGATACATGTTCATACCTCCTGTAACACATAGTCTATTTCTGAACCTCAAATACTGCTCACTTCCCCATAATTCCTTCTAAAATCCAAGCTTCAATATCTGGGTCTAGCCCCTCTTCTCCACAGGCTGCCTTCATGTCTTCACTTCTCCATGGAGTAGCAAAGGTGGAAGGGTCATGTTGTGTTCTTTTAAGGCTTCCCTAACAGTTCTTCTGTTTAGAAAAATGTCCACATGGAACCTTTAGGTAGAGCTCTACCCATCCCACTCCAAGCACTGACTGTCCTTGTGATTCATAATGTATTAGTGCAAGGAACTGAAGAATGAGAAAACTGGAAGACAATTTTAAATTTCTATTGTCCATGGTAACATCTGAATTGTACCTTATCTAGACCACCTGGATCTTTTCCATCTCTGTACTTACAGTGTTTATATTGAAGTTATCAGCCACAAAATAAAGAGCCCCATTTCTTGACTACTAACAGTATCAAGAAAAATGTAGAAAAAGTTATCACCGTGCTTCAGCATGGCTCCAATGACTGGTAACAAGAGTTGCCTAGACACGTGTAAAACAATGCATAGTCACAAATGTAAAAAGGATTCCAGAGCTTGGCTGGGAACTTTCATATTCCAAACCAAATTGAATCATCTTTCAGAATACATATACTGATATATATTTCATAAAGTTTCTTTCATGTTTATCAAGAAATTTACACAAAAATCACAGTTACATCTCACCTTTTCATTTTCAGTAATAATTTTATGTGGCCATCATCTTTCCGAGGAACAGACCCAGTTTTTGTTTCACAGTCAGGTCTTAAACTCAAGTTGTCCAGCTAAATGTGGTAACCATGTGGTAACTTAAATCAAAATTAATTAAAAGGAAATAAAATTAAAAATTCCATTTCTCAGTCCCAGTGGGCATATTTCTGAAGCTTAATGTCCACATATGGCCAGTTGTACCACAGCAGAGTGCAAGTGTGCAGTGTTCCCACAGTAGCAGATAGTTATGCTGGACATTGATCTTCAGAGATTCCATAAGGAACTGACTCAAATAGATAGCCAAGGCTTTCTGCCTGCCATGTTGTTTTGGATCGTAGAATGAAGGAGAATTTCCCTGGACACTAAACCATTCCATCAGGTCAGGATGAGGACCCAGGAGTGGTGCTAGCCTAGCCTAGCTGGAGTTTCTAGCCTCTGACTGAACTAATTTATGAGGGAAATGCATAGCTGCCTTTGCCTTTTCAAGGCTGGTTCGGCTAATCTTGAACAAGGAGAAGGAGATTTGATGACTTGGGCGGACATCCCTGTACCTTGACAGAGTGGACCTGCCAGGCCGAATAAGGAAACAGCCTTTAGCACAGCTTATTGGCAGTGAGTACTGAGTATTTCAAGCCAAGGAGGCTCTTGGAATGTTTATTACTTAATTATACACACTATCTGGGCACTCAGAAATGCCCTTGAAGTCCCCAGCTGTCTCAAGAAGTATTGAGAAAGGCCTAATGCTTCTTGGGAAAATTTTGTTACTTTTCAAGAGTGAGCACATGGTCCGTTGGGACCTGTTTTCTATCCATACACATTAGGAGTACCTATGAACACAGTGAGAGAGTCCACAAACTTCTGCCTTGTATACATCACGTATATACACACACACTTATATACATCAGTATCTTATTTTCACGTCACAGTCATGCTGTAGTACAACAATAAAGTAGTCCCAACAAATTTATTCTGAGAAAGGCAGTACTTACCCCTTTTGGATGCTAGATTCCTAAGCATGAAGCAAAAATTTTACCTCCTTATTAGTTATTTATTAATAATTTATTTTTAAGGTAATTTTCCTAACCTCTTGATACCCCCAAAATTACATTGTTGGATGAGATCAAAATAACTCTACATTACAAATTTCCATGAATGTAGTTTATGTGTAGGTTGTAATTATTTAAAATACACTAAACCATTTGCTTCTAAACTGTTTTTTTTTTGGTTCTCCAAATTCCTTTGGAGACTGTCTGCACTCACTCCTTAGACCAGGCTGGCCTGGAACTCACAGAAATCTGCCTCTGCCTCCTGAGTGCTGGGATTAAAGGTGGGTGCCACCAACACCTGACTATAAACTATTACAAAATCTTAACAGCATTAATTAAGATTTTGAGAAACTTCCTGTTTCTTTGTATGAACCAGACCATAGACAATCAAACACGAAGTCCTTATGCTGAATTGTGTACAAATGGGCACAAGCTCATGGTATATGTTGGGAATGCAGACTCAGGATGAGACTGACATATCCAAAGTAGGTATACTTGCTAGACTTCTTGCTTCACAGCCCCCACACACTTTTAGAAAATATCCCCATTTAACTGGGATGGATCAAGGGGAATAAAGCTCTCCACTCTCCCTCACTATAAGTTCACAGCAAAGCTTAATAATAAAGACACCACTGCCGTGTTTTCATTTTTGTCATAGGTAACAACATCTAAGTTCAGACCACTACTCAAAATCTAGAAATGCTTGCTAATGATAGAAAAATGATTTTAAAGACACACTAGATAAAATACATACAGTTTTCTCTCTGCCTTCCTGTGTGGGAGGGAAAAACGTTAAGTTTAATGCACCTTCACAGCAATTTGCCTGATTCGTTCTTTAACTCAACCATTTTGGGTTTTTGTGTTCATTTGTGTGTTCCTAAGTAATAGACAGTGCTCACATCTGCCTCCAGACAAAGACACGGACACTGCTTTTTTAACTCCTGTGTCAATTGCATCCCATAACTGAAGATATTTGGCCGCACCTTTTGTCTTCCTTACCTAGTGTGGTACTCCTACTCCTGCAGCAGCTCTGCTGTCTTTAGGCGGAGAGACCCTTTCAGCTGATAAATACCACCCAAAGCAGAGTTGTTCATACCAAAAATAATTAAATAGCAGAATTGGTTAGAGATAGCGTCCATTCCTCAAATTAAATGTAAAAGCCTTCTCCCGTTAGACTGACTTGTTTTCACAGGCACATCATCAAGTCTTTGTTGAAAAGACGCATGGCCACATTAAGATGGCGTCATTAAGCAATACATTTATTTTGAAGCCAATTAACCTTTTGTCAGGAAAGTGTCCGTGCTGTAATGGCTTGGCTGGCCGGGGTCAGCCTCTAACAGGCAAGGATGACAGCCCTGTCCCAGCAATGGTAGCGCTGAACCTGGACAGAGAAGATACCTTCTTGTGCATTCCAGTCTGCATTCCCAGGGAGTGCACAGCCCTGACCTATCCATTTAGGTAATTAAAGCTTCCATTTGGAAGTGTCCTGCAGGAAGGTGAAATCTGGGGGAGATAAATGGCTGTTGCTCTCCGCATCCAGCCGCCAGGTCCATCATTTGATGGACTGCTGGAAACAGGCCGGGTTGCCAGGCTCTCATAAAAATAGAGATGAATTGGGCTGCAGAGAATTCTCTAAGGCGAAAGCAACTCTGTCATTTTCTTCTTTGAGGGCTATAATTTAATTGTTAGTCAAGGTGGACGGCTGACACAGGGGGCCCTAAGAGCTCGCCCACCACCACTCCTTTGCTGAGAAATTACTCCCGTTTATTTACTTAGCAGCCAAGTTTGTTTGGCATTGGGGTGTCACTCTGGAAAGCGCAGCTGGCTGTCACAGCTGTGCCTGGGCTTACCTTCCAGGCAATTTTGTTTCCTTTCGAGTCATGCTCAAGGGCGATTGGGAAGTCTCCACGCTCATAAAATTTTCGGAATGCCGTGGGCTTGGTTGGCCTTTCTTTAAATGCCCCCGCAGCTGGAGGACCCCGTACCTTGAAGAGGGGAAAAAATACTCTTTAGCTTTTAAAACAGGCTTAAAAACAACAACAATAACAATATACCTTGCATAAAATATGCTTGAAATAAAGTCCAAGCTGCTTAACGAGGGACAACAGAAATCTGCGGTTAACACAAACATATTTGAGGTAGAAGGGAAATCAGACTTTAAGGAACACTCACTGGAGTTCAGAGTGTTAGAAGTGGTTACATTTTTACTAATTGTGACACTCAGGTCTGATATATGTTGTTGGAGGATCATGAAACAATAAACGTAAAGTATTTCTTTTAAAGTTTCTGTCTCATTCTCTGTGTGTGTAAAAAAAATGGCCTAAGCTATAAATATTAACAACAAAACTATAGAGTATGATGTAAAATGAATGGTACATTAGGGATTTTATAAAGAAGAAAGGTGACCTATTATGTATGCATATAGGATGCATTTGCAATTCACCAGGAAACAATATTAGAATAAATTGTGTAAGAAACTCTCTCCACAAACTTCATTCTTCATTAAAAAGGAAGCACTTTCTATAGAATTATTCATGCTGAGTGTTATCTTTTAAATCTTCATTATGTATATCTGAACTAACCTACTAAGTTATAAAACTGAATGCTAAATAACCTATTTATAAAATTGCAGTCTATTGAATTATTACAGTACAGACAGACAAAACATACGCATCTTTCTTACTTGCTATAAAAAGGTAACTACCAGTCATTTCATGTACTAGTTTAATAGAATCACAATTTTTCTCTAACAGTAAGGACAAATTGGCAAATAAGCTTAATTTTATTTGTTAAATTAATTGATAATATTTCTGTTAAAACTTCAATCTTAAGACATATATTAACATCTGTAATAATGTGGTATAGTACATACAAAATTTAGGATGAATACATTGTCTCTAGTCCATATATGAAAGCCGGTATTTGGAATCCTGGGGTATTAAGGAATAGGAATGTAGCAGGATGCTGAAATGGAGGGCCTGGCCCTTGGTAGAGTTTAGAAGGCAGCTACGTTGTGGATATTTCTGACCCATGAGCTGGACATGGAAGAGACTATTTTCTGTCTCACTGGAACTGCATAGCAGAGATTCCCTATACTGAGATGCTGCACTTTTGTACCACATTGAATATTGAATTTCGTGAATTGATTGAGGACAACCTTTTCCTTTTTTTTTTTTTTTTGCCAAAACTTACTTAAAAGAAAAAGAAGAGATTATCATGTACCAACATGATACCATTTTAACACCATCAGAAAAAGTGATAGACTAATATCTAAAAAGAGAAAACTTGGCCAAAGCAAGGTGTCATGAAAGCACAAACACACATTTACTGAGAGTGACAGTGCTGTGGTGCCCGGGAATTGTTAGAGTGTACAGAGGTGTATATTGTTATTAGAGCCTTTGGATGAACGAGCAGCATAAGTCTCATTTAGTTTATTTCTCTTATTTGACTTTTTCTTGAGATAACCGTTGGAGAAAATATTACATAAGCTTCATGTACTCTTCATGTAGTTTCCCATTTCACAATTAGAAATTTTTTCTACATCAACTAGTATGTTAAAGTGATCTTCTTTTGTCATCTGTGATGATGGAGGTTTGAGATTTGGGAAATATAATTTCTGTTTCCTGAAGTTGCCCAGTTATTCAAATCATGTTTCCTATTTGGTGAATTATGGTGGATCATATTTTTGAGGGATTTGCCCATTTCAACTAGATTATGGAAATGATCTGCTAGCATGTTTCTCATGTCTGCAGGATATGTAATGACATCCATAATTCATTTCTGATACTTGGCAATTTGTGTCTCTTTTGTTGTCAGCATATAGATGTTTACTGTCTCTCTATGGAGACTCATTCTTTGCCTCAATGTTTACTCCATAGTTTGTGTTTTCACTTTCATTTGTGTTTATTTCTGTTTTTCCTACTTGATTTGCAATTATCTTTCTGGTTTTTTTTTTTTTAATGGAAGCTTAGATGATTGACTGGAGATTTACCCTCTTTTTCAATGTTGGCACACACTGCTCTAACTTTCCCAGCACTCTAGTGAGAGCTTTCAGGTCTGTTAGGTAACATTATTTTCACAGTTCAATGATTTCCCCAGATTCCTGTGTATTATCTAGATGTGTTTGGATGACTTCAGGTTTTTTAAGTTTGTTGAGGTTTGCTTTATGATGCAGAAGCTGGGTTAATATGGTAAATATTCTGTAGCCATTCATAATACATTTGTGTTCTCTGTTACTGTTTAGGGTACTCTAGCTATTTTGATTACAGCCTGTCCTAGTTAGATTTCTATTGCTGTGATAAACATCATGACCCAAATCAAGCTGGACACAAAAGGGTTTATTTCAGCTTACAGTTGTAGTTCATCACCAAGGAAAGTCAGGGTAGGAACTTAAGGCAGAAGGCACAGAGGGGTGCTGCTTACTGGTTTTATCTCCATGGCTTGTTCAGTCTACTTTTTTATACAACCCAGGACCACTTTCCCCAGGGTGGCACTGCCCACAGTGGGCTGGACCTTCCCACATCAGTCATTAGTCAATAAAAGGCCGTACAGATCTGCCTGCAGGCAAGTAGATAGAGGCAATCCCTCGCTTGAAATTCCCTCTCCTCAGACAGGTGTAGACTTGTGTCAAGTTAACAAAAACCTACCAGCTCAGCCTTATTTCCTGAAAAAGTTATCACATTTCTTAGTATTCTTTTGACTTTATAAGTTGTTGAAAGAGGAGTGCCTCCATGGAAACTGTGGGCTTGTCTAAGTTCTGTATACCTGTGAGTGCTTACTTCACATAGCTGGCCATACTCTACCCTGACATGTACACACACACACTTAGGACTCCCATGGCTTCTTGGTAGAATGACCATTCTTCATATGGATTGTTTCTAGACTGACTTCTGTTTCCTTATGCAATGATCTTCTCTGCCTCTGGAAATTTTTTCTTGAAGTTTGCCTTATTTAATATTACTATAGCCATGTCATTTTTTCTTTCTTAGAAGCAGAGTTGGGATACTAAAGATGTTTTAACATACACTTTAATCACCAGAGTTAGGAGAAAGACGGGTGCTTTAGAAAAAGTAAGACACATATTGGTGTAGATATTCAGTCTTCTATATTGGCCTGTCTTTGGGGTTCTGACAGGATACACCCTTCAGCTGCAGCCACTAAGAACACCACCTGTGCACATTCACTACTTTCCCTTTAAAAAGGGCCCTGCCCACCTCCTATCTTTCTGTCTCCCTCCCTCTCTCTCTCTCTTTCTTCTTCCACCACTCTTGTCTCCAGAGATTGGTCTCTGGTTCCCTTTCTGCCCCTTCTCTCTCTCCTCTTCCAATGAACCTCCTAAGTGAGTCCTGTTGTATGGCATGGCTTCTCTTTAAGGCATTTTTAAAATTAGAACAATTAGAGTACAGGTGTGAGGTACCTCTCTTTAAAAAGCTAATACAAATTCTCTTTTAATTAGCATTTATTTCATGTTATCATTATCAATTTCCTTAAACTTTCAACACAACTTTCATTATTTTTAAACATATTTTTAGATAATATAACACTAGATCATGTAATGTAATTCACTTTATCAATCTCTGCCATTTACTGAGCATACTTAGATCACTTACAATCAGTGTACTTCTATGTTAAGAATTAAGTATATTGCCAGGTGGTGTGGTGGTGGTACATACCTTTAATCCCAGCACTCAGGAGACAGAGGCAGGTGAATCTCTGTGAGTTCAAGGCAGCCTGGTCTACAGAGCAAGTTTCAGAACAGCCAGGGCTACACAGAGAAACCCTGTCTCGAAAAACAAAACAAAACAAAACAAAACAAAAACAAAAACAAAAAGAAAGAAAAAAGGAATAAAAGAATTAAGTATTTCATTTTTTATTTGTTTTGTTTTCCCTTTGTTCAATTTTTAAAATATTTTTTCTTCCTGTGAGTTAACTGTATGAATTTAGAGTTACATCTTGATGTATCAATTTTTGAGTATCTATCACTATAAAGATTTTATATGTGATTCACTACATTATATGTGAATAACACATCTTAATCATTAGTATCATTAGCATTTTTATGAAATGTGGAAATATTGTATCTCTACATGTTCTATTACTAGACATTCATATTTTCCAAGATTGTGGTGATATATTATGATTTATTAAAGCTTGCCTGAGAGTACAGAAAGCAAAGCCAGCCACAAGCTATAGAGGTCAGGCAGTGGTGATACACACCTTTAATCTCAGCAGCCAAACTAGTTAGCTATAGAGGCTGAGCAGTAATGGTACACACCTTTAATCCCAGGACTCAGGATTAAGAGGTAGATGGATGTCTGTTAGTTTAAGGCCACACTGACTACATGACATCAATCCAGTCCTAAAAGAAACAACTCATACAAAGGTGATCTCAGCAGTTGGGATCACATGCCTTTAATCCCAGCACTAGGGAGGTAGAGACAGGAGGATATGGTTGGTCGAAGAAAGGAATATAAGGAGGAGGACACAGGAAGTGAGATTTTTTTTTGTCTCTGAGGATTCCTGGAGACAGGATTGCCATTTCAGTTAGGCTGAGGTAAGATCTACTGTCTTGGCTGCTTTGCTTCTCTGATCTTCAGCTTGAAGCTTGAACCTCAATATCAGTCTCTGGGTCTTTCATTTGTCGTGTTATAATAGATTTCTCTTTCTACAAGCTTAAATGACATACCAGAGAATTTTATGATTTCTTTTTCAACTGCCAAACATAATTGTCTACTCTTGGGAAGGAAAGTTGGAGACAATGCTCTTCCAAGAAAAGCCTACATATGGGCTCTTCCAGACAACCTCACTTCTTCTCAGCCTTGGTGCTTAAGCTATCCTTTGTACTTACATCTCATCGTGCCCTTCCTCCCACATGTCCCTAAACTCTTTCTTTAATGCTTCCTTTCTGTTAGAGAACTCTCTTTGACATTCTTTCAGGATAGAAATGCTGAGAATACACCCTCTTAGTTTTTAGTCATCTGAAAAT